AAAAAAATTGACCCTTATGACTGGTTTTGTGGTCCAGGGTCACAAATATTCTTGATACAAAATTTCTTATTTCATAACAGAATACAGATATCAACACATCTGAGATACTAGTGTTTAAAAGTCAATCAAACAATGCTCATTTTCATATCTAAATCTGTTAATGCATACACTGGGGAATTATTGCTATTTTTGCTCACCAAGGCTGCATTTATTTGATCAGAAATACAGAAAAAACAGTAAAATTGTGAAATTTTATTATAAGTTAAATTAGCTTGTTTTTTATGTGAATATCTGTTAAAATATAATTTATTTCTGTGATCAAAGCTGTATTTTCAGCATCATTACTCCAGTCTTCAGTGTCACATGATCTTCAGAAATCATTCTAATATGCTGATGTGCTGCTCGAGAAACATTTCTGATTATGATTATCAATGTTGAAAACAGTTTACGTACTGGAGTAATGATGCTGAAAATTCAGCTTTGCAACACAGGAATAATTACATTTTAAAATATATTCAAATAGAAAACAGTTATACACAATATTACTGTTTTACTGTATGTTTTAATCAAATTAATGCAGCCTTTGTAAGCAGAAGGGACTTCTATCAAAAATTGTTTTAAAAAACCTAATAATTTCAAACTTTTAGCAAGTGGCTAGTCGTTCCAAGTCGTTTTTTTTTTGTTGCATTTTTCGTCATTTTTGGCTCTTTTATTATAATTTATTTGAAGTACTGAAGCAGATTTGTTCTAATATTAACATTTGAAGAAACAAATTAACATTGGTCTGCCAAATCAAATATTTTTTAGAGTCAAATCAAAACTTTAGTTGAAAACAAACAAACATTTTCAGTACTTTACAACAAGGTTTCATTTGTTAACATTATTTAACTGCATTAGACTATAATACTTCAAGAGCATAATTTTTTTTGTTAATATTATTTTCAACATTTGCCAATGCATTTTTAAAATCAAACGTTCTCCACTTACATTAGTTAATGCATTGTCATGTTAGTTTTCAATGAACAATTGTATTTATAACTAACATAAAAATTAATAATGCTGTAAATTGCTCACTGTTAGCTAATGTGTTAACAAATATACAAATGAGATCTCACTGTTAAGTGTTACCAGATGTTTAAAACCACATCACACCATCATGAACATCCTTACTTGTCACTTACTCTTAAACAAAACAAAGAAATAAAGGTAAAGAAAGTGAATCTCACGTGATTGACGCTTTTGCTGATCTGCGGCTTTGGTTTGTACTTCAGGTTTGGTCTCTGAGACCAGTAGAACGGGATCGATCCTCGAGTCTGTGGAAGAGGATAATTCATTCGTTAATAACATGTCTTATTAGAAATGTTGGGATTAATGCTCTTCAAAATGACATGAAAACTACCAATCCACATTCAGAATGGACGAATGCAAACAAAACAACAACATTCCAGTAGATCGATCTAAAAATGGACATTTAATTTTTACAGAAAGAACATTTTTGATTGAAACTGTCTCCTATTATTTAAAAATGCACAATTAACTGAAATAAAACTGAAATCACAATATGGTTTAGTGCAAAAAAACTGTGATTTAATTAAATACATTTATGCACGGCATGTTTCATTAATATGTGAGCAGCTCATTATCCACCGGTATTTACATTATTTCATCTCCTTTTGAAAATAAAAAATTACTGTTGGTTTACAATAATAGTTCCTTATTCGTTTTTATATAGTAATTTTTAAGTTCTTAGTTGGTGTAGTAATAATATTATTATTATTATTATTATTAGTAGTAGTAGTAGTAGTAGTAGTAGTAGTAGTAGTAGTAGTAGTAGTAGTAGTAGTAGTAGTAGTAGTAACAATTATTATTATTATTTATTTTACAGCCATATTGATTAGGGATGCACCGAATGTTCGGCAATCGAAATTATTCGGCCGAAAATGCGAAAAATCAGAATAAGCGAAAAGACCGAATAAATTGTACCGAACAATGACGTGACGCTATCAAATAGCAACCAGCGTAAAGTTAGAGGCGCGCACTCTTTATAATGCAACAAACATGTCGGCAGTGTGGAAGCATTTAAAACTGTCTGAGAAAGACGCAAAAATCTTTACAAGCACCGACAGCGAGATACTGTTTAGTGCTGCAGTGCATGTCTTCGATGAGAAGAGGAAGGGTGATTGTTGCTGGTTACTGTGTGATGATTGAAATCGTGAAATGGCCTTAAACAATTAGTAAATAAACTGCAGAACGTTATGTTTTCTAATACACGCACGCATTGCATGTGTTCTGACAGCGCTGCACGAGCTCGCGGTGCTATCTGCTTGTTAACCAGGGTTCAATCCAGTGGAAAATCTGCGCTGAAACAGTGTTACTCGTCAGTTGCTCAGTCACATTGTTATGAATTTTTACAAGGCATGTGACAATGCGATACGTGTGACGTATTCGTAATGAGACTCATTTATAAATCTGCTGTCGACAAAAAGAAGCTCTGAGGTCTTCCTGCGCGTTTCCGCCAAAATAACAGTTGACAAAAAGCAAGAACTCATAAATTCATAAAATGTTAGTATTGTAATTTTACTGTTGTTCTGTAAAATAAAATAAAAAGACAGTAATAATGATAATAATTACAACAGCTCTGTTAATACATTTATACATACACACATAGTGTTCAAATTGGGATCTGTAATATATTCTAATGTTTTAAAAGAAGTCTCTTCTCAGCAAGGCTGCTTTTAATTTTACAGTAAAAATACATGCCTGATTCAAGAAGGGGGTCTGATCGCCAAAAAATATTATTTTAGTAACTTATTGATTTTAAGTTAAATTGTGCTTTGTTGGTATAATGTCTGCTTAGAATGTAAATTTTTTTTAGTGTTAAATATTTTTAAAGTGTTGTTTTGTAATTGATTTTTTCTTTGAAAAACAAGGCAAAACAGTAAAAAGCACATTTTGGCTATTTAATTAATGTAATGGTGAAAAAAATGGTCAAAATACATGGGGAAAAAACTTGAAAAACCGTGTTCGGTATTCGGCCAAGAATTTTCATTTCGGTGCATCCCTAATATTGATATATAATCACAAAATTTTGGCCAAATTGTGAAGCCCTACAAACAAGCACAGCAAACTTGGAATTTTTTTAAACTGAATTTTAATCAAAATTTAATTTCACAATCACAAAAATCACGATTAGTTTTTTTCCCCAAATCCTTCAGGGTGCCGACCATGTTTTTTCAGTTACTGGATAGAAATGGTAAAGCCACCCTATACCATTTTTATATGATAGTTTAATTAAAAAAAAATTTTTTAAACATTTGTTTTGATTATCAATCAGGCTGGTTTTGTTTTAGACACCTGGCAACCCTGATCTGAGCAGTTTTTATTATGTTAGACTTGAATCACATTTGTCAAGCTATATCTACATATATCTTTTCTATATATACCATTTGTGACCCTGGACCACAAAACCAGTCTTAAGTGTAAATTTTTCAAAATTGAGATGTATACATCACAAGAAAGCTGAATAAATAAGCTTTGCATTGATGTATGGTTTGTTATGATAGAACAATATTTGGTCGAGATACAACTATTTGAAAATCTGGAATCTGAGGGTGCAAAAAAATCTAAATATTGAGAAAATCATCTTTAAAGTTGTCCAAATGAAGTTCTTAGCTATGCATATTACTAATCAAAAATTAAGTTTGAATATATTTACAGTAGGAAATTTACAAAATATCCTATGGAACATGATCTTTACCTAATATCCTAAT